AGTTCTGAACATTTTCTCGATGTCAACAATGAATTATTCCAGCAAACCCGCGTGTTCCGGACAATATATGGATATAGCTATATTATGATATTTAGATATTTCGACAATTCTCATAATTTTTGAAAAAGGCTGTATACATGTATTTTGTATTATTAATTATATCATTTTTATATTTGTATATAGTGTATATTTTGTATTGCCAATTTATTTATTTATTTATTTATTTATTTATTTATTCATTTATTTATTTATTTATTCATTTATTTATTTATTTATTTATTTATTTATTTATTTATTTATTTATTACTTCTTATGTTATATATCTGCTAGATGTGCAAACTTTGAAGATTATTAAATTTAGATTTAGATAACACACGACAAACATCACAATACTGTATACATAGCTTTCATAGTGACATAGTCACAAAACTTTGGTGTGATTCAACGCATGCGCATGCAAGTCCTCTGAACTATTTTAACCGTGACCAACAGTTCAATGGGGTGGGCTAAGTAAAAAGGGTCTGGGACTGGACTAAGTGACACGTGGTGTGGTGATCGCGTGGAAGGCTGAAATACGTATGCATGTTATACTGGACTAGCTTCTCCCACGACTCGTTGAGCGAGTGTAAAGGACTGGACTAGCTTTTCCCACGACTCGTTGAGCAAATATAGTTTACCATTTTTTTATTTTTCAACAGGCTTTTTTCTCCAGTTCTCTGTATATGGGCTGGTCTAATAACGAAATGCAGGAGACGAGCGTTCTCTTGTACAAGTGCCCGTTGATAAGATTAAAAAGGTAAAATCAGTTGTGTAGATCTGGTAAAATGTTTTTGCACTGGCCGGGAATCGAAACCGGGCCTCCCGCGTGGCAGGCGAGAATTCTACCATTGAACCACCAGTGCTCCATTTTTATATCTTCATTTATTTGCATTATGCATACGTGAATACGTTAAGGATCTACATTTTCTCCGAGTTGAGGCTAACCCTGCTCATACCTTAGGTCTTATGGGAATACAGGGATAATCTCAACTCGGGAAAAATGCAAATTTTCAAGTCTATTGTAATAACAACATTTTCTCGTGCTCTCTTTTGTGTTTGTAAAGTCTTTACGCAAGAGAATCTGTTGTCAAATAAAGCAGCGGTTTTTCGCTATGAATTCCAAACTGGAGTATTAGTATGTATTAGTATACTAGAAGATACTATCCAGTAACAGTCGTGACATACCATGGCGGCTGCTATATATTATTAATGTATAAGAATAGTCGTGACATACCATGGCGGCTGCTATATATTATTAATGTATAAGAATAGTCGTGACATACCATGGCGGCTGCTATTATTAATGTATAAGAATTTATAAAAACGAACGCTTGTAATCATTTTAACGACGTTGTCGACGCTATCCGACGCGTCTTTTAAGAATTCATAAATTTATTTTTGATATTTTGCTTTTTAAGGAAAAGAGCAATCGAAATATTTAGATTGAAATAAATAGAATAAAAGTGGACTGAAGGGGGGGGAGGACATGGGTCATTCTTGCAGTTCTCCATCCAAACATGCAATCAGCACAATCCCTGCTGCCACGTGTTTGTAAATGATGATTGATAATTATGCATTCTAAAACAACCATTTTGTGATCATATTTCATCAATAAGTATTTGACTTACAGTGATGTAGACGGTGTAAGGGTTCAGGCAGTGTTCATTTTCCTGTGTTGGTATCGTTGTTCTTCCCTCGATTTTAAAGGTTTTATCTTTGCCGTTATAAAAGTACATTCTTCGGTATTCTAGTATTATGATATCAGCATCAGCCTCCATGTCGAAAGAAATCTCGAGGTCTACAGAAGAAAAAAAAATTATGTACTTTTTGAAGGGCTTTTGAGGACTCGGCATCCAACGTTACAAAAGGAGTCCATGCGTTGTATTTTCGAATGGTCCATCTTCGATRTTCTGGTTGAATAGTATCTTCGATCGTCGTCGCGTCTTTTTACCAGTGTGTGTGTGTGTGGTTATGTTAGTTAAACAAAATATGCGTGCATACGTGCTCTRACCGAAATTCTCTTTTCAAATCCTTGTAATCTTCGTATTTTGTAGACGTTTATTTTACCTAGTAATCACGTGTTTTATAGGAAGTGAACAAACACGAGAATAGTATGATTTACCGACAGATGCGTCTCAACGGTGGTTCGTTCCAAATGTGATTTACCGACAGATGCGTCTCAACGGTGGTTCGTTCCACATGTGATTTACCGACAGATGCGTCTCAACGGTGGTTCGTTCCACATGTGATTTACCGACAGATGCGTTTCAACGGTGGTTCGTTCCACATGTGATTTACCGACAGATGCGTTTCAACGGTGGTTCGTTCCAAATGTGATTACTTCAAAATAAGAACAACTGAGTTCATAAAACACAGATTATTAGCACCACCGAGAATGAAAACAAGTCCTAAAACACTTCCGGAAACTAATTCAAGAAATGCTGACAATAGTGCATACATGAAAAATAGAGGACAAGTGATGTAAACATGTAAATTTAAGATAATCTAATAATACCTCTTCTGTTGGATGGTTCCCTGTCTTTAAACCTAAAGCAGACTGTCACATTCAAGCTGAAAAGAAACAGTTAACATTATCCCTCCAGCATTCYGTTCGGTTTACAAACAAGAAAGTGAACTAAGAAGATATATTTTGAGTTTCAAGGCAGAACATACTGCCGTATTATGGACCACGGCTTATTGCTTTCATGCGTGTTTTCCGTTTTTTTACCGCTATTTTCCGTGTATTCGCATCTCGCAGAAAAGCTTATTGTGGGTTGTGGGCATTGCTAACTTGTCGACTCTTTTACTTTTCATTTTTAGGTGTATTTTCTTGTTTGTGTATTTGCTTACCATTTGTACAAAGTACCATCAACTCCGTGACACATAAACTTGTTGTTCTCAAGGACGATCCTGTTACGATCTGGTCTGATTAAGGCTTGTACCTCTACGATCCTTCGTGTTCTTTTAAAATAGATAAAGACTCCCGTTAAACAGTCTATTATTTGTTTTATTCAMTGTTTTTCCATTCAGTAAAATCCTTTTTATGGTTAAATGGCTAGTGTGATGTATACCTGAACAGGACAGCATGTCCAGACAAGAACGACCCAACAGCGATATCTTAATAAGCAAAATTAAAGTAAGCAACCGACATCAGCKAGAGAATATAAAGACCGCGTGTACTCGTGTAAAGCGCTCCTAGTATTCTATTTAACACTATTTCACACTATTTTCTTGCGTTTGAATCCAATCGAATTCATTCCCGGATGTATTTCCAAAGTTTTCTCTCCTGGGATTACCGCGTAACAGTTTTGGTAGGGTATCAAGATGATTGTCATTGGTCATTACTGCGGTAAAAATGAGAGCAACCCGCAATCTTTGAACTCATTAAAGTTTGTTAAACAATAGGGTACATCCAAAACAAACATCGGAAAACATCGGAAAACAACAATGTGACCGATATGACGGTAGTCATTCCCATWGTAAACATGTATATCTATTTTCTAGTTTTAAGCGCCATCTTGCAGCTGAAACTATAGCTGCGATCAACCTCTCATGAATGCGCTATAGGAACAGTATAATGGAGTATTGCCTGCAGTATGCTTTACCTGGATAACCATTGCCATCAACGTCTACTTTACCAGAGATCGAATAGCCAAATCCTAGCAGGTTTTCATTCAAAGTCCTACTTAAAATTTTCTGTCAAACAGCAAAAATAAGAGAAAACTTTAACTTAATCACGTGATGTGATAAGACAGTCCTTTCTGTTCTTGTCCCTCATCGAGTGCCCTGCACCCCTACTTGAGGAAGATCCTTGATCCGTCCCTTCAAAGTCTTATTGATAATGTTTTATGYCATAATTTACCTGTCTGTATTCGGATTCAATCCCAGTTTTTGTTCCATAATATATGTACACAGCACCACTGCTATTATGTCCCTCGAAAGGCGCACCTATCGCCACATCTAGTAATTATACTATCGTGTGAATTTAACGAAGTCAATTCTTAACGAATCGATAGTTTATGTTACCTTGGTAACCATCTCTGTTCAAATCTCCTACATTGGCTATCGCTGTTCCAAATCGAGCCCCCCGTAAATTGTCCCCCTTGAGGACAACATCACTTAACATCRGGATACCCTTAAAACAAATCAAAGCATCGGATAAAACAATTGTTGTTCCTGGCCCTACTTTTAGTCAGTCGTTTAGTTGTTACATCGGTTTTTCAATCAAAGAAGGAGAAACTTTCAAAATCTGCACTGGTGGTTCAGTGGCTTCGATTCCCGGCGCAGTGCAAACAGATATTTTGCCTCTTTTTCTGTTTCACTTCATAGCATGCAGTSATCACCGATCGCGAGTTTTTTCAAACATTTAARACCTGAAACAGATGCTTCATACTTGATCTCACCCTCACACACCGAACATTTTTAACGGTCGTTTGGACAACTCAACCGAAACTCAATTTTCATCATAGGTATGAAACCAGTATGAAACACGGAAAGCTTGGCGTTGATTGGTCATTAATAAGGATTTGATAATTCCTGGATCAGTTTTGGMTCATAAAAATATAAAGTTTGCCACAAAATGTTGATAATGACCTACCTTCTTGTTAACATAGACATAGACGCGCCCCTCGTCCATGGTATCAGTGTAAAACGGTGCACCAACAAGAAGATCAGTCATTCTGACAACAGAAAAAGTTCATGKAACAATTGATACGGTATAAACATTCCTTTCAGGGAACTTGTGCGTTCTCCGCCATCTTGAAAGGTCTTGAAATCGAGATGGACAATATAGTCAATATGATGTAATATTGTGCTAGTAGTACTACCAATTATTGCAATAAATGCGCGCAATTCAAGACAGCAGCAMAATTTACCAACTTGTCTCAGAACATTGCTGCAAAACAAGTTGGAAAGCGAGTCTGCTTGTTTTTGTACTTGTCTCTCAGCAAGTCGAAAACGTTGGGCGTATTTCTACAGCAACACAATTTATTTCGTAGCAAAATCGTGAAGTMGCGCGACAATCGGCTGACTGTATTAGCCAATCAGAAATCAGGATCCACTCAACTTGCAACAAATGCGAGAAAAGTTGGTTCGTCGGTAGCAGAACGCGCAGCATCGATTTCCAACTTGTTTTGCAGCAATGTTGCGAGACAAGTGTGACGATCACCGCCATTTTGAAAATGTGCTTGGTTTCTCTTATAGTAGTGATATTTACAATAGTCGATGGGAGTTGAACAATCMGAAAGGCTTGCAATGCACCTCTRGGTAGAGTAATTGATAYATAGAAATWTAAGACATACCCATCCTGATTCAAGTCAACTGCACAAAGCGTACTACCAAAGTAAGTCCCAAAAGGAGTTTTCTGTTCCTTAACTCCTTCCTACAAGAGCGAAGGCAAAATAAGAAATATTAGTGTGCAAATGTGCATGSAATTCTTGCTAATTAGAAAAAGACCAATATTAGTAGTTACTTCACTTATGGGGAGTGCTAGGGACTGCAGTTCGCTGAAATAAGCACACAGGTWTCATAACTCTTTTCGAGATGCTTTTCATAAAGAAAATACACTTGGAAAAATGCATTGTCAGCGTCAGGAGACTARAATTATCAGTCCAATATTCCGAGAGAAGACTGGAGAAGTCTGTCAGCTTACATACCTTGACTTCTTCTTTAGGAAGCTTTAGTTGTGATTTGAATACAATGTCAGTTTTCTCTTGGATGTCGTATATCAGCACCTTTAGACAAGTATAGGATACTAGTACTCTATGGTTACCATACTAGACCCGAGTGTTGTGGGTATACTTACCTTGCCTTTCATATTGTTTCCTCTTGGTGCACCGCCAGCAATGTCTATACAGTAATGACAATCTTACTATAACRTGCTAGAAAGGTTGTTTTCTCGTGGTGATTATTTATTTATTTTATTTTAAAGGTCATTGATAACATGTCAATCAATGTAAGAATGATGCTGACCTTGTCTTGTTGTATTTCCATAGTAACCGATTGCAACATCATAACCTGAATCAATGTAATGTATTTAACAATGAACAACAATGAATAACAATGAAATCATTTCAAAATAATCAAATTACTAAGTGGGTTCTTGTCATGCTGCATGACCATGTCCTTGTCAGCGCTTTGCTGGAAATATTTGTATTATCAGACTTCTCTTTTCGCTTAGAAAACKTTTCGCATCCAAAAGCATTCGTATTGGGAGTGTTTTCACTGGAACACTTTTACTCTTCAGGCCGTAGGAATATTGGTCGCAAACTTGTGGGTGGAACCCGAGGACGCACATGCGTAAAGATGATTTGTAGATAAGATATTTTCTCTTAAAGCTTATTTTATAAATACACCTAATTGAAGAAACGTTGTCGGGTCCAAAAAGATCAAATCATAGAAGCTAAGACCGAAAGGGTACTTGGGAAGACAAACAATTTGGCTAGTTTCATAACAAACATCTCTCCAGCATAAATGACTAGCATGCTGTTAATCTTACTAGCTCTACTTGATTTACGGTACACCGTATATGCTAATATAATCCCAAATTAGCGTTACTCAAAATCCCTTTCGGTCTTAGCTTCTATGACCTTTTCGAACACGACTACCTGCGCCATCTTGAAATGTAGCCTCACAATTGCATCGAAGCGAGACAACTATTGAGCGTGCAATGATAGAAACCTGTGAAAAATTGTATGTAGGTGTAGAAGAAGGTTTCTGTCATTGCACGCTCAACGGTCGTCTCGCTTCGATGCAAAGGCTCAGCTAACTTTCAAGATGGCGCAGGTAACCGTGAAGAAGACTATTGAGAGAATTTGGAACTGAGGAAGATGGAGAGGTTACCCATGTAGTCGTTCTTCCCCAGCTGATCTCTCGATGTGGTTTTATAAGCGTGTGACGTCACTAAGTACACATTCAGACCACCTATAAAAACATCGATGAAAACAAACGCATCAATTATTAAAACAAATAATAAC